ATTTTCACCCCTGTCCACGTGGTGTCGGTCTGTTGGTCCCCAACTGCCTGCCTCACTCGCTGGCGGCCACTGTCTCTGCTCCTGCTGATGGCTGAGTTTGTGCTCTGGGCTCAGGCCGTGATGATGCCGTGTGAGGTGCCACCGAGCCATTCCCACCCATAGTGACCCCGTGCACGACAGAGCCACACACTGCCGGGTGAATGACCACCGCGTAGCCCCTGCTCGCTGTCCTCTCCGGCTCACCATCCCGCCCTGCTCCAGCACCCAGGCTCTTGGGGCTGTGGAGGGCAGCTCTGGCAGCATGGGGCATTGCAGGATAGTGCAATGTGAACATAGCTAGGCGCCCATAGTGTGCCCTGGGACGGAACAGAGAGACCCAGAGCAGTGCATGGCACCGCCCTGGGGAGCTGATTGACTAGTTTGGGGCAGGTTACGCAGCGTGCATCACGGGCTGAACAGCATTTCCAGGGGACAGCGCGGGCCCTCGGGAGTGCTCACTCCAGAGGTGTGACAGGTGCTGGCCACACTGCTCTCGTCTGGAGAAGCAGAGTCACCTAGGACAGGGAGGCCCACCTGGGGTCCCGTGGGTTACGTTGAAAACGCTGCTTGGGGCTTGAGAGTGGGGGAGCAGGAGGGACGGGGAAATTCCTCGCCAGGACCCTGCCGATGGCCGTCTCTCAGCCGCTCCGTCCCTTCCAGGAAAAGAGGGATCTGGGCCTTGGGGCCCGGATTGAGCCCGAGGGACTTTCCGACGGCTCAGCAGTCCTGAGACCTAAGTCAGAGTTGGGGGAGCAGCGGCAGAGCCAGGTGATGCCCCTTGGGTCCCCGGCAGCCTGCAAGGGGGGCTCTGGACAAACGGAGAGGGCTGTGCTGTCACACTGATGGGGAGCGGGGGTGGGGGGTGCCATCCCTGGGGCCTGCCTAGGAGGAGCGGGACTAACTCCCCGTTCTGCCTCTCTGTCTGTCTGCCCAGGTGCAAATTCTTCAGCCTGACAGAGACACCAGAGGACTACACTATCATCGTCGACGAAGAGGGCTTCCTGGGTAAGTGGCTGAGGCCCAGGCTCGCTGGCAGGTCTGCAGCCGCTTCCTTCTCTCCCCAGGACCCTGGCCGACCCTCCTCTGCCTCCTCTCCACTCGAGAGCCTGCCCTGAGGAATGTTACAGACCTTAAAGGGCCCACAAGGCTCAGGGTCCCGCCCTCCCCACCTCTCAGCAGTGAGTGAAACAAGTGGGAAAGAGGAGGGGCGAGCGCCATCAAGCTCCAGCTGTGAAAACGGCTTGTGCTCATGGCTACCCCAAAGGCTGCAGGTTCAAATCCACCCGGCGCCCGACACGGGAGAAAGGCCTGGCCTCCTGCTTCCGTAAAGCTGGTGGCCCAGAAAACCCTGAGGGGCGACTGGATGGGGGTGGTGTTGCTTGTTCGTTAGGTGCCTCAAGTCAGTCCCCACCCCTGGCAACCCTGTGCCCAGCACTGCCAGGCCCTGGGCCACCCGCGCCACCCGTCTGTGCCTTGTTGAGGGCCTTCCTCGGGGTCAGTGCCTTCTCCAGGGCCTGGGAGGCAGACTGTGTCCTTCTAGCAGGCCATGGCACAGCCAGTGTTCTTCTGCAGCACCACGGTTCCTTACCAGGTGTTGAACATGCACCCGGTCCTCGCAGCCCCGTTTGAGGGACCCCAGTTATGATCTCTCCC